TCTAGCCTTTCGTTGTGAGTGTGGGAGGATGGGCATTGGTGTGTGCCATTTCACCCTCATTTTTATCTGAACTAATGGACAATCTCATTTCCCCCCCAGAGCACGAAATGAACTCCATGACCACCACTACCACAATCAAGACACAACGACCACGAATACGACCACAACGTGTTCACGACAACGATCGAGAACCATGACCGCGATGTGTCCACGCCCACGTGTCCACAACCACGACCACACCTGCGCGACTGTGACCACGCCCAGGTGCAATCTCGTTGCTCCTCCGAACAACCGAGTGAACGGCATAGGACAGTGGTAGCAGGCAGGTCGATAACGGAGATGTAGGCGAGAAGCCTCCGGATTAGCGTGTAGCTAGGGCTTTATCTAGAACACATCTACTGTATTAGATACTGAACATCAATGCTATTCCTTTCTTCTGTTCCCTGTCATCCTTCTTGAGATCCAAAGTCACTCAATAAGTTCTCCAAAGTACCCATGCAAAGGTGCCAAAGTGCTACTGAAAGATGGATTCCCAACTTTGGAAAGTTTTCGAACAACTTTGAAAGTTGACAGTACGATGGCTAGGGGTCTACTTTGACCGTAAGCTACGGTTCCAGAAGCACGCATCCATCCTCGCTGCACGTGGCGAAAAGGCAGTAAGCGGATTGACAATGCTTGCAAACACAATACGTGGCCTAAGCCAAACACATCTCCGTCACCTATACCTAGCGTGTGTGTCACCCAAGATTCTGTATGCGTGCCCGGTGTGGTGGACAGGACGCCAGTACCAGATAAAGCCACTGGAAAAGGTACAAAGGAGGGCGCTAAGGCTAATATGCGCAGCTTTCCGGACCACCCCAATCGAGGCGTTAGAGGTCAGAGCTTCGCATCCACTGGGGTAGACCGTTCTACGTAGACTGATGGTGGACTCGGCCTTTTCCGACTTTCCACCAGCCTCATGTCAAACAGCTCATCAATCACGGACCGTGTTATTTAGCCACGTCCCTGAACCCGCCCACCTTTGTCGCGCCTTCTTCCGCCCATCTTTGTTGCACCTTGGCCCGCCTTTTTCCACCCATCCTCGTAATAAAATGCTACTGGTGTATTTTGGTTGACCTAACAGGGCCATTCAAAAATGAGCACAGCTCGCAGCTTGAGACGTAGCAAGAGCCATCAGCTTACATAACGTAGATTTAAGTGTCCGCTCAGGGCGGTATCCGTTTGTCACGCCAAATTTAACATCGAAGTTTCCTCATCGTTGTTTGCTGCTCGCCGTTTCCAACGATGAGCTTGAGTAAATCTTTTCTTTGTGGCTCTAATTTGGCGCACTCTTCAGCAACTCATAGCTAGAACTCAAATATATTATTTCCAAATTTTCTTCAATTTGTAATTGAGGTAAAGATACCCTGCTAGGTTGAAGCCGATGACACCAAACGGTGCTGGAAGTGTTTTGGCGACGTGGCGTACAACGAGGGAGAAGACCGGAGAATTCCGGAGTGTGTCAAATCAGGGGTTAGTAAAGATGAGAGAGCTGGACCCTGGTGCCTGTGCCTTCTCTGTGGACTCTGTAGACTGGTCTACCCCAGTGGCTGACATGCCCTCTTAGAGGTTGAAGCCTCAGTCCCACCCATCAGGCACCAAGTCAGCCTACATGTGAAACGCTGCGCCATACGGTTCAACAAACTCGGCACCTCAAGTCCAGTCATACAGCGGCTCCCACAACCATGGAGGAAAGCCGGAGAGGAAACAACGCCACCACCTCTGCAACCAAGACTCCAAAACAACTCAGCCACCAACCGTGCAAGAACAACAAACCTGCTCGAAATCGCAAAACACACATGCCATGCCCATGAAAGAATCGATCCATACCTGGTGGCACCGTGGCGACGGACAAGCTCAAGCTTCGGCGGCCGAGTCCAAATCAACGCATGCAAGCCAGAATCCAAAGACCAAAAACAAAAACAAAAACTAGTAGATAACCACAAAGAAAAATACCAACAACTCACAAAGAAAAAAGAATGCCTTGTAATCTACACGGACGGGTCGATGGTGAAGAAGAAGGGTTTCCCCCGGGTAGGAGCAGGCGTAGTGGGGTTTCACGAAGGGGAGGAGGTGTTTGTGGGGAAGATGGGGCTAGGGGGAAGGGCAGAGGTCTACGATGCGGAGATGGCGGGCCTGAAGATGGGGGCGAGCCTGGCGCTGAAATACATCAAAGATCACCCAGAAGTGGCAAGCGTACACTTCTTCGTCGACAACGCAGCGGCAGCAGGGGCAATATTCGACCCAAAACCACAACCAGGACAACTATATACGGCAAAATTCCACCGCAAAATGACCAGGTTCCTCGACAGCAGCCCAACCCACTGCACATTAGAGATTGAGTGGTGTCCAAGCCACTGCAACATCAAGGGCAACGACAGGGCAGATGAGATCGCCAAGGAAGTGACACAACTGGCATGGAACGCACCAATCAGTACGTCAAGGGCATTTGCCCTGCGCAGGGCCAAGGCTTCAACACAGTCCAGCTGGGTCTGAGAATGGCAGAGGGCGCCGCGTAAAGGGAGGTTCGCGATTTCCAACAGAATCCCCCCATCCCTGAAACCCACAAAACACTTCACCGAGCTAAAGGACCAACGCGAGGTTTTCGGCCGCCTAATCCAGTGCCGCACAGGACACGCATTCACTGGAGAATATCGGAAGCAGTTCTTCCCAGAGAAGAGTACAAACTGCGAATGTGGGGAAGACCCTCAGACCCGCGAACACATTATAAGGGACTGCACCTGGTACGAAGGCCATCGCGACAAACTACGTGAATTCAACCGCGACATAGCGCTACCAGAACTACTAGGCACCCCCAAAGGCATAGCCGCACTCGCAGAATTCATAAGAGGCTCAGGCGCGTTCACGTTCATGGGGACATTTAAAGTACGAACCCAAAGAACTCCCCTCCTTCCTCGACGAGCCAGAACCACCCGACATAGACTCAGAAGACTCGGACGTCTCTGACGATGAACAATAACACGCCCACGCTACCCGCACCCACAGACAAAACCCCATGAGTGCAGAGCGCTTGGCCCTAACTATGCACCAAGAAGGTGCACCCAAGGGGGTGCCGGGATTGGAATGCCGGACCAGGGGTTGGGTAGGTAGGTCGGCCACAGGCCCAAAAAAAAAAATTTGGAACCCTCCATAACATAGTACCCAATCGGCTTGTACAGTGATTTAAACTACTCCAATAGTGCTCCTGCATGTAAAATATAGTTGTATATTGAATTGATTTATAATATCTGCCAATTTCCGGCCTGAAAATTTCACGCTGACTGTTATCTAATCTTTGTATAATTCTGAAACAGGTCTCAACAACATATCGACATGGAATGCGACGCAACTGAAGTGGTATGTTGAATAAAAATTACCTACAACTTACTAATGAGATGATTAGGAACCTGTTCTTGATGCCGATTGGTATGCTGTATGCCCCGATTGCAAAATGCGAATCCATTGTGAGGCCATAGGACTTGCCAATCTCAAGAAAAATCACTGTGGAACGAAAACCTGCTTGAAAGCGCAAGCAAAGCGTCAGAAGGAAGAGAAAGAAGCGAAGCAACCCACCTTGTTCTCATTTTTCTCCCGAAAATGACCTGTTCCTTCTTTAATACCATCTACAATGTGTTGCGTTGGAGATACCCCCACGAAATTAGGTATGCGAAGCATGTGAGGTGTCTGGGGAGGGTAAGTAGAGGATCAAAGCGATCGCATCGATGATGTCATATTTCCATATATAGAAATGTGCCTGATTACGTAGGTAGGTAGGTCAAGCACAGAGGCCTTTACAAAAAAATTCGACCCCGGCTACTGTTTTTTAATTCTTGAACCCCCTTGGGTGCACCAGACTATGACCCCCTGCCCCGGGACGCTATACCATAAACCTTGACTATTGATATACCTTACAGCTACACAACGGACACTAATGCTCACTTAAGTGAAGGCCCATCAGACATAATCACACCCAAAGGGGGCCTTACGCCTCCCGTGCGTCTTACAGTGCATAACATCACTTCCCCGCACCTGATTTGGCTGGCAATCAACAAAAACAAACTTTCTCTAACTACATTTTTTAAGTAAACCGAAAACACTCAAAAACAACATATTCATGCTCAGATTGATTGTAGCTGCCTGCAGTGTGAAAATTAGACCTGTAGCTCAAGTTTTCAAGTTTTTGACCTTGAAAAAGTGAAACAAGCCCTAACCCTAGCTTAATAATGGTGCGTGCACACCCTAATATGGTAATAAGGGTCCCATAGGGTCCTACCATTTATGGAAAATCAAGGATATCTATCATGGCATGTCGTTTAAACATCATTTCTAAGTGTTTCCCAACGTATTGGAGCTGTCCGAAAGGTTTCCTGAGGGGTGAAAATCTCCATTTGAGCCCAAAAAAGTGAAACACCGTGGGAAAAACACCAAAACTCTGTCAAATGCATTCTTTTCATGGGTTTCTTCAGAGAAAAAAAAGGAAAAAAATCAAAAAAATTTCCTCAGCTCATGCCGAGGGTGCTAGGGAAGTCATGCTGGGCACTGTAGTACTAGATTACTTGTTGCACGTAAATCTCTAGAATACAAAAAAAAAAAAAAAAAAAAATAACTTTGAAAGTTGATTCGACAATTTTGAAAGTTGCTCGATAACTTTCAAAGCTATTGTACCTTACTTTACAAAGTTGTCGAACTTTGGCAACTTTGGCAACTTTACAACTTTGCAAAGTTGCGAAAGTTGCCCAAAGTTCGATCAGACGTTTTCCTGATGCAGGAGCATAACGAAAGTTCTGCATGCCAACGCCACGTTCTTCACGGTCATGTTTCCGGACAACTGCCTCCACCAGACCACTGAAAACCTGATCATCGTATGTTCCACTCAATCCACCCTGCGCATATCTGACGCAAGGCGTTGATTTTGCATTCTACTACGGAGAGTATAAGCACGAATCTTTCACAGAAAGTATGATGAACGCACTGGTGCCTCAATTATATCTTTCAGACCAATATGCCGTCCATATATCTCATCCAAAACTTGGTTTCTATACTTTGTCACTGTGGAGAGCGTTTGCACCCAGATGGGGTGCTTAGTCACTGATTTTGATATTTCAGCACTCACGTGTGGTGTCCGTATTTGGGTGCATTTCTCCACACTCAGACGAAATGTGCACTCATGGACACTTCACTTGAGTGTATTTGTCAATTTCAATCTTGGCTTCCGTGGAAAATAATTCCTGCACAATGGTCCCAAAGATAAGTATGATAGGATTTTCGCCGCTCGGTTGGGGACTTTTTCAGGCTCAATTAACTAACTTGTAGCCAGACATTCAATCAAAGTTTGGACGATTGGCAGCAAGTAGGAGATAATAGGTCAGTCATAAAGTAGAAACTCTTTATGGAGGTAAGATTGGGAACATGCAGCCCCGAAAACCCCATTCAATAGATCACCTTGAGATCACCACAAAGCCCTAAAAGAGTCAAGCCGGAACCAAGCGGCCCCAACACCAGGCCAATAAAAGCTGACCAACCGACATTACAATTTAATGTCTTGAATCAATTCATGCAAAATATATAATCAGTCTAGGCGACGTTGGCTGAGTGTCGACCAACTTGAAGTGTCGACGTTCCTAACGCGACGCGTCTGTTTGTCCATATTTAGTATTAAGGAGTTCGTCGGAATTTAAAATACAACTTGTCTTCATGCCACGACCATCCGCGACTACACGGCGTCGTTCTGTCGCTCCTCTGTTTCCAATGGCCTTCCGATGTTCAGGAGTGGTATCTACTAAGGTTAGGTGCGACCCTCCTTAGCCTGCTTTCTGATACGCGCCCACAGAGGTCCTTAACGTTCATTTAACCCCCCCTCAGCGAACACTCCCAAGATCGAGGACAACGGTGTGATGAGACACCATATATGCGTGGTATGTAAGTCCCCCCACCCCGAACTATGTAGATATACTAAATAACGTCGCATAAATCATACTCAAGAGCAACCCACCACGCCACGCGGCACCGGTTAGGCAGCCTTTGAGAAGTCGATCCACGCCCCACGCGACACAAGCCAGCTTCCGAGGTGATTTCTTGTATATTTGGGTGCTGCTGTGGATTTGAGACGAGTGAGGGCAAGGCAGCCGCAACTTGGGAGGATAAACAGGTGTTTGGACGGTTTAGCTGGGCATCGGTGAGCACCCGCGCCTTAACAATGTCCTTGATCCTCCCTGACCCGAATTGGCACTCACAGTTGCTCTGTCCCCTTGTGCCAGTTGCACGGAGTTTATACCTGAGGCACCCGTAAGTCATTCATCTGCTATCCGCTTCTACAGCTGAACGACCACGGTCGCGCCCTCCTCCGACGTGCCTCCCTACGCATTTCATCCCTTTAGAAATCCAATTTGATGTGTCAAGATCAGGTACAGCTTTACGCACAGATCTCCCAGAAAATGAAGGCGCTTCCATGTCGCACGCTAAACACAACCGCCGCAATTACGCAGCTATTCCTCGCCCTTTTTCGAATGACCACATCTTCTCGGTGCTCTGGACAGGTGATGGATACGATGTGTATACTTGACGCTTTTCGACTTCTCAGACTCCGCGGGTGGGCAATTGTAAGTAACTCTATTTTAGCTTGCTCTGCACTCAAGTCTGACATTGGATCACTGACTCTCCCCAGTGCGATGTTTGAGTTCTAAGGTCAGTGAAATCTCGCCGGTTGTCTTCATTCCAATAGGTGGCTGTAGTAACGTAGTGAATACATTGTTATATGTATGGTTTATGTGCTGGATTTTGTAGCGGTAATGAACGGCGAGGAAAACACCATATTTGAGTGTAACACCATAACTGAGTGATTTGACAGTGATTCTACGGTGCAATTTTGGGCTGATCACTGTATGTATGAAACACCGTAAATGAGTGTTTTGAGGTTAGTGCATCACTTCAGATGGGTGTGAGACACACTTCCGCCAAGTGTTTACACACTTGGCTCAAGTGTAATGAAGCACTCATACGGGGTGCAAACGCTTCCCACAGTGATTGTGTTGACATAAATCTGATTTTCAGGCAATGGTGTGGGCTTTCGTAGAGCAGCTCTGAACCCTTTGGAGGATAAAACACTTTGACATCATTCGCAAGGAAGGGCGCGGTTGGGCGCTCGATCAGGTACATCCTTTTGACAGGTCGTGGAAAAGACGCGAAGCTTTTGATGGCTGTGTGTCCCTGTCGCTGATGGTCCAAGACTTCATTCTTCCTCTGTTTCGACAACTTGCTAAACAACTGGTTGAACTTCTCTTTCGCAATGGATTGAGTACTCTTTCCACCTCCACCGGGTGCCGCACTTCGATACAGGTACTTTGGAACCCGACCATCGTCCAGCTCAGTAAGACCAGGGCAGGGTTTCGTGGGGACGGTGCTAGCGTTGACGTTCTGAGCGGTCTTCGCCTTATCGCCTCCAGCTTTTTGCCCCCATCCCATGGCAAACAATGAGCGAGTCTTGGCACTCTTCTTGTTTGGCTTGCACTCTTTCATGTGAGTTCGCCAACGTGTGAGATCTAGTGGTTCCTTGACCTGGAAATAACGCCCACATCCAGAATGACGGATACGAGTTACATTAGATGGATCAAACTCTGCGTGCTGGTCGTCGATGAGTATTTGTTTCTTCCAGTTCTCGAGAGCGTTGTCGTCAATTTTAAGAGTGCCCTTTCGAAATGATTCTCGCTTGGAGCGCGAATACGTGGCGGCCTTGCTTCCCCCCGTTCCTGCTCGAGCTTTTTTGTTTACTCCTTTTGCCCTATTACTGACGTCGCTGTCAGAACCTGATTTCGATGGGCTAGCAATGTCTTCTTTAGGTTCTCTTTTTCGTTTCAGCTTGGTCTCCTTTTCCCGAACTGATTTTTCATTCCCACACCCAGTAAAATATGACATGAACTTGTTCTTCTTGACTTGTTCTTCATCCGCCACCGTTCGTTCCTCGCCGCCTTTCATCTCCTCTGATAGATCAACCTCACTAGTTGCACCTGTCTCCTCCGCAAATGACGAGGGATATTCGTTCAAATTGACGTCCTCATCAGATTCACTATGAACGTCTTCATTGAGATCTCTGGTCTCAGATTCATGGGGTGCATCATCGGGGTTGAGGAGCTTGAGGAGAGAGATATGTTGCTGATCACGAGGATGAGGTTGGATGTGGTCGTTGCTTTCAGCAACAAAATCAGCAAGGTCAAAAAAGTTGTGATCACCAATCGCGATTGCAATGCTGACTTCAATATTCATTTCAGACCTCCCAGCAGTGGCGGCTTGCATAGCACCAGTATCTTGCGATGGCGACATGCCAATCTGATTCTACGTGGTAAGTCAACACATCATCAATGCCGATTTGATCTTCAGTAACCTGATCCCCAAGAGAGATATCTTCAACCAACGAAGGGATGTTCTTAACAAACTTCAGGAACCAACGTACTCGCTCAAGAACGGCTGTTTTGGGGCTCCACACTGGGCAACCAAGTATGTCATGCGCAATTGTATTCCCTGTCGCAGGCCCACAGCTGAAGGTGTCGTTTTGTTGTCCATGAGGCATGCAATCGCCTCCATCCTCCGGGTCAAGGTCGAAGCAAGTCTTGAGCCACCGACGAAGCGCAAACATAAATTTTCGTGGTGCGCCCGATTTGTGAGAGAACGAGTCACCTGTCCGTCCTCGATCGGGTTATTTGATGACATTGGTCTTTTTGATTACTTACCGTACCCAATCTTTCCATTGCGGAAATCGATGAACGCCGCTAACCAATGATTCTTGTTGATATTGACAGGGAAAAGGAGCTTCTCGGTTTTCTTTTCGGTTACGTGCTTCTTATATCGGCGTAGCAGTACTGCGCCCCCCTTCTTGTCGTATGTGCCTGCCTTTCCATTCTCCTCAATCTCATTTGCAAAAGCCAGGGGCGCAACCATGACTCTGTCCGTCAGGTCTGCATTTGTAGCAACATTCTTGGAGAGTTCCTCCATCATCATGTCGATGTGATCATCTGACAACCATGCCGTGCCCAGTATGTCTGTCAGGCAAATGGCAGAGGTTGCTCCTCGGAGGTATCCAAGCTTGCAGTGCCATCCAATGGTGTCGAACATCGCGAGTGCATCATCCAGGGTCTCCTGGGTCTCCTGATCCAAACCAGGTCTATTCCTTTCCCGCTCCACCCATCGTAAGCTTTCGGCCCACTTCTCTTGACTCTGAACCAAGCTAACCATTCGTTTCCAGAATCCTAGAGTTCATAACGGCAAGCGATCTTGACTCTCATTGAATCTAGGGTCAACGATTGACTTCGCACCATCAAACCATGCCTGACCAAAGGCTCCATCAAGGCGCTTGAGAAACTGGGGAGATGGGATGGCTCGAGTGAGGAGGCAATCAGGGTTTGTTGTAGGTTCACTGTCGCTGAACCAAAGCTGCAGCTTGGTGGTAACGATGCTGTTGGAAACACGCGGAAGCCTGAGGGCGAGGAAATCTGTGACTGGGAGGTCGGGGGACGGGACCCTCATAGCTTTGTGGGACGGGAAGCCGATCACTTTTTACATCCGCGACATGAGTTGGGACATCACAGTATTCCTTGTTGGTTCCAATCCATTCGGATTCCTTGGATACAGTGGGGTTCACGAGATCAACGTGTATGTTGGGTGTCATATTGGAGGACAATGCAAGGCTGAGAGCATTATCCATCCGAAATTTTTATCACGAACGACGATTTATGTAATATCCGTAGATGATTTTACGAGATTACAGTGCTACAACCTTCCAAAAAGAAAGGAGCATTCATCACGGTTTGAACCCGGGACCTCTCAGAATACACCACTGTAAGAATTTCGCAGCTTTATCACGCGTCAATACCTGTCCGTTCGAGATTTGGCCTCACCTCTAGCTGCGAAGACCTGTCCAGACGGCTATTTCGCTCGCAAGGCCCAATTCCTGTCCGAATGGCATCCGGCCTAACAGCCGTTTTTTGGAAATTTCCGTCCGGAATAGAGACCAGCCTCTTTCAGGGGGCCTCATCACTGTGCATTTGGACTCGGATGAGCATGCGGTACATGAAAATGGAGGACGCGCGGAGCGCTTCCCTGGGCTGGATAGACGACACTGACATCTTCTCCTAACTCAGCATCTGCCAAACTTTGGTACTGAGTCAGAGATCGGCATCGAGTCCATCGGAGCTCCAGGGGAAACGGCCCGGCGAGGCCGAGCTTTTCCTAGGAAGAGTTTTTAGTTGTCGCCCTACAAAATGCCTCCTTACCAGTTGCCCTTAGAACCCGCCATTACGAGTCGCGACGACTGCGCAGGGGGGAGACGCTACCGCGCGAAAAGGCCAAGAAAAGGCACTAACTAGTGAACCAAAAGTTCGGAGTTGGTGACCCAGTTCGAATGAAACCAAAGCCCGACCTTTGCTTAATCACATCGCTTCATCTCTGCCAGCCTCATGTTCATCGAAATGCAGAGGACTCTTAGTATGTTACCCATGTTTTGTCTCCTAACCATAGATCTCAATCTCACAGCTCAACCAAAGCTCAACCCACATTCCCGCCCATGGGTGCCGGCGTATGTGCTGGAAACTTCGACCAGACGTACAAGGGTTCCACAGGATGGAGGAGGATTCCTGGGAATACCTGCGTTGATGGTGTCGCAAGGGACGAGAAGGTTGATAAGGAGTCTTTGCAAGGTATGCATTTCGTCATTGTGGGCTTGAGATATTTCTGATTAACGTCACTGACAGCAACCTGAAATCATCCATCAGATTGTGCAACATGTCTACTTCAAGAACCCCCAAGTAAGTTGTCCCATCGACGCCGTATCTCTCCCGTTCTCAGGCTGATGGTCCGCCCAGATAAAAACCATTCTGGTTCGTCTCATGGTCAGCACCTTGCGGCAATCCAGCAACGAAGGTTACAGCTAGACCCACTGAATCCACTCTGAACACCTTTTTTTGCGTTCTACCATCTTAAATATTTGGACGACCGTGTCAACCTCATCGCCGACGCAAACACCTTCCACACAACCGACACCGGACGAATGTGGAACCAAGCCAAAGCCCCGACTCTACGAAACGCATACGGAGTACAAGTTACAAAGCTGTCATGCAGAACTTCCCAGTTACGCCAAAGATAACGGGCGGAAGTGGTTCCTTGTCGGTAGCTACTTGCGGAAATGCGCGTGGGCGACAGACACGGAGCTTCAAGTTAGTACTGATGAGATCATTTGCGAGTCCTATCAGGACAAGAAGGGCAACCAGCAGAATGAAAACACAATGGAACTAGTGGCTTGTTGATCATGTCGTTGGTTTTCAGAGTTCCTGGTCGTTGGTGAGGCAATTAGGTTTCCTGTGGTTTTGTTGCACTGGGGGTTTTGCGACACACCGCTCGTGTAGGTTCTTGGGGTACATTCTCCCGGAAACCAGGAACATGGCCAGCACTGGGAAATCTGCTGCTATCTGCAAGGGTCTAGTTTACTAACTACCTCACGAGTGCCCCCCACCGTTTGACCACTAGCTGGTACACAGGCTCCTGCCACGGATATCGATTTCATGTCTGGCGATGTCCTCAATCTTTTCCACGTTCACGCTGGCACAGATACTATGAAGAGATTGAATGCACTGAACATTGACAGCGATGTCTTTGCGAGGCATAAGGTCTGCTTGGAAGTGGACAATAGCCAATCCCCGCAGTGCCTGTCTGCCATTGGTCTGCCACCTACATTCCTCTGGTCCTCTCCGTCGTCATGGAGTGTCGATCATTTGGCTTCAAGTTCCTCGCCTCCATTGATTTCGGCTCTGTACGCGCGCCGGCCCAGAAAGACTCTGCACCGAATTGGGGTCCTGAACCTCTCAGTTTAATGTCCCTCGGTGAAGGGGCCAAGCCGGCAGGGTCTATTCTGGCTTGTATGAGTGCGCAGATCATGTTGTGCCGTGCTTCGCCATTGTTACAGTTGGCAAGCCGTATGGGCGAAGCCGTCCTGGCAAACATGGTAAACGATACTGTCAAATGCTTCTCATGCATTTCTTGAACAAGGTTCGTGGTTTCATTCACGCTGCCCGCTTCTTTTACTTATGCCGATGATCGACAAGGTCCATTACAACTGCACAACGAATCCGCTTGAGCTGGAAATGTACCGTCAGATCAAGAACGTTATGGGTGTCTTTGTACGAGTGCTTGTTCATGGTGGACTAGGATCGCCTCATCTCTGCGTACGTCCGTTTTCTTCGTTGATATTTTCATCGACTTAGGTTACCATACTAGAATGATTCATGATAAGCAGCTGCTCAGTGTTCGCGGCGAAACTGACCTGGCCAATGCGAAGCAATCTCTCAAGACAATGATGCAGGTCAATCGACGTTTCCAGTTGACTGTCATCTTACGAGCTCTTTGAAGTTGTTACGATTTCCCATCACTTTGCAAAGGCGTTTCAGAGACTTTTTGGATCTGCACTTATTTGCGCCGTTGCTTCACCCTTTACCGCCTTAGGACGCGCGATGCCCATAAGCCGTTAATCATCTCCAACCAGCTAGGTGAACATCGATCTTACCTCGTCGTTCCTCAATCACTTCCGGCTCTTCAAAACTCAGTTCATCCGGGATGCTCATCCATACACTGTGGCTCCTGGTGACAGGAATGTTTAACATTTCATTGTCATGATTGATTGGTTACAACGCTCACCTAGCCCCGCTGCTGCATATGTAAGTTCTGCCCTTTCACGTTGGCCAGGTATCTGATTACCTCTTAAGATCGTCTATTTGACCTACCTGGTGGCTGGTGAAGGCAAATTCATTCCCACGTTATCGCTGATCATGATCGCCGCAATCTACGGTATTTAAGCCCTGGTTTTCATCATGCGACGGAAGTGGGAGATAATCAGGTGGACGCTGTTCTGCATCCCCTGCCTTCTCTTTCCAGCCTACACTCTTTCTGGAGGATGCACGATTTCTCTTGGGGTCAAACACGTGTGAATCCGGCAAGAGGATGAATGTTCATGTAGACAATCATCTTTCTTTTAAGAGTACACGACGCTAACTCTCTGGTACACCAGGACGAAGGGAGGTTTGATCTCGAGCCTATTCCTCTCAAATCATGGAACGATTACGTGAGCCTTGCCCTGCTCTTACCCTCCATCAGGAAAACGAGCTCTGGGACAAGGAATCGGATCACAGCATCGGGTCCTGGGTCCCTCAAACCAAAGCACAAGAATGTCATGCACATTCTCGCACTGCTTCTTCAAAGGGCCGAGAAACTTACTACGACGCAGCTACTCATCTCAGCTCGGCATATACCCATCTCCAGGACACCCATCAGGTTCCAATCAGTTTGCAATACCCCACAGTCCATTTCCAACCAATGAGCAACGGAAGGCATGTCCACCAGCCTGCCTCGTCGCGCCCTCCCGCCAGCTAGCTGTATATGCCAATACCCATGGTTGGCAGTCCAGATACCTTCATTTTGTTGGTGGTGGCGCAACCAGTGGCTTCGAGCTCGAGCGGCCCGTACAAGAATATATGCAATTTGCAGATCTCAACTCCGTGACGAAACACAAGATTTGGCGCCAGCTCGAGGAACACTTCGACATGGACCTGACTTCTTGCAAGGAGATATCAACGCTGCGATTGATAGAATTCTGCTCAATCAGGCGCGATCGCAGGTGATTGTTGGAAGGTCGACCTCTGAACAATGTACCTGTTACTCCGCTCATGCTTGGCGCCCAGTAACACTCCTTTTCTGTCTCTTCCTCAACTTGTTGGTATTTTGAACCTCACGAACCATTTCTTTATTAGTAGCTTACCCTCCAATCGGACTTGACAATCAGAATCATCTCATGCAGTAGGATGCCGTTCCCCCCTCTGAAATTCATCGGGACTTGCACACTATTTCCGTTACTTATCTCTCTTGGCACGGGTTATTGGTACCATACGTCGAATGAGACGGCGTATAACAGGAATAACATGTAGAAACGTGCATCAAAGTAGATCAAAGATACGATCTTGAGAGGTAAGTACTGCAACTGGAGCTCCACCAGTTTTGAGCCCCTCCTTACAATAAACGAGAAGAACAGAGGTGGCCATGCTTGCGAAAAGTAGCGCTGCCGAGATAACGAAAAGCTCGGGCAAGACGGGGAAAAACAGGAGCAAAACATGGAGCAGGAGAGCGCCTGTTGCGTAGCTATCAGAAACGTTTTCGACGAGAACAATGAATGGCCTCACAGATTGGAATGTTGTTTGCCATCCTTGTATGCATCGAGCCATAAACGAATTCCAATCAATAGCGTATACAAAATGATCCGTCCATATCTGATTCAAGGTCGTAGAAGACATGTAAGTCACAAGGGACATACTAACACGTTCTGTCCAGCAGATCTCATTGTCGTTGTCGACAAGAATGGGAGTACCACGGGACGATCGGGCATGTTCTTCACCGTGATGGGTGTAGAATCTGCTCATGGCTACAAAAAAATCAGACTAGGCTTGTCGTGGAGGTACAATATACGTACTGATCATGCTCCAAAGGCCGGGCAACAACCGTAGTAATATGGCCTTCGTGCACCAAAACAACTCCTTGATCTGAGAATGTAAGAAATTATTGGTTAGGTAGTCTACTGTAAGTCAAAGGTACTTACTGCTTCAATGCGTGTATTTGGAATGTGCTCGCCTTGACGGTTTCGTTTGCATCGCTCGGCGTTGGAGTCCATAAGTATGAGGAGTGCATGCCCGTCGACTATGTTGTCTTGGAGCTTGCCTAACGCGAGAGCTTCCTTCTGGAAAACCTGCCACAAAGCGGAGATGGAGATGTAAAACAAAAATGGTAGCACTAATACTTACATTCCAGGACATCACAATAGATCTCTGGGTCTTACTCCCTCCCTTCCTCCGGTTGGCTTCCGTTCTTTGAGCAGCTGACACACGCCCAATTGTCCGGATAGGTCGCTAGAGGAGACAGCTTAATTCTGATAGGAAAAACATTGAAAAGAAACTCGTACCGTCGTCATTGAGATTATCCCCGTCCCCCAACTCCTCGTCTGCACGGTCGAGGGCCTCGAACACAGTTTCAGCAACTCCCTCCACAGCGTACTCCTTCGCTAACGCTTCGTGGTTGACGTCAAAGTCAGCGTCGGGGGTTCTTGCTCAGTCCGGCTACTTGGTGGACTCAAAGACTAGTCCGCTTGAAGAGGCCGTGGCGGTATTATAATGTAAAGGGCCTTCTTGTTAGGCGGCGAGGGTTTGATGGTTCCTCTAACGGTATACCTGTCAACGCGTGGATTAGAAGAATTGGTAATAAGGGAAAAAAAGATCAACGGCGGATGAGCGCGTTCCGCAGCAAGTCGAGGTTGGCACGCGTTGCAAAACGAATAATGAAGTGAGAGCATGCTGCCCGTAAGGGCTCTCTCTTTCTGATGGTAAGGCTGAAGGCGAGGGCAGGATCTGAGAAGAAGTGGAGGGCAACAAGCAGGGGGCTTACAGGTGGGCTTTGTACGTTTTTTTCCGCAACAAGCCTGGTTTTCGAGCAGGGAAGAAGTCGGCGTGAAGAAGCTGGGGGTCGATTGGGATGGCAGCAGATGAAGGTGCTGTTGACGGAAGTAGGGAAACATGGGCGTTTGACGCCCCTGATGCGGTGGGTAAAATCGTGCCTGGCGTCAGGGCGTGCCACTGCAGGGTTTCGTGGTCGTCGTTACGGAGGCTCATGTCGTGCAGATTAAATGTGCTGAAGGTAGTAGGGAACGCGAATAAATGATGAGAAAGGTGAGAAACGGTGGTAGAGGCATGAATACTCCACGAGTCTAGGTGAGTGTCCTAGTGAGTTTCCCAGCGTATTGTGACTGCCTGCCAAATTTGGCAGCTTGGAACCCTGCTGGGGTCTCGATCTTTCCAAAGACCCCAAAGATGCCCAAAGATAACCCGGAAACAAGAGTTTTGCGTGAGGAACAAGAGTGAAAGAAGGACAAGAAAACGAGGGTGCTGTTGTGTGACAAGGGTGGGACATTTGCCACACTGGGATTGTTGCCAGCCTATGCACTTCAGTCACTTACCATCAGCATGTCTGCCTGGACTCCTATCCTACACCCACTTGCACAAGTCTCAGAGGACCTTGATAACATAATCCAGACTTCACTAAAACAACTCTCAAAGCCATCATCATCATTGACCCGAACATCTATCAAAGAGTGGGAGAGACAACTGAGGGAGCGAATTTGTGGTCAAGAAACATACGTAATCAGCATTTTATCCTACCAATTTAGTTGGCTCACTTTTTATTAGTGGCATTACATTCATGAATGGCTCAGTAAATGCACTGGTATGAGAGAAGTGGAATACTTGCCACAGCCAGAACTTCTCCAGACCTTTCTGGATGTTAATTACCTTATTTTCCATGGCCAAACACAGGAGGCAACATTACTCCTTGCATCGCTACAGAAAAATATTGATGGTCTTAGGGTAAGCAAATACCCAGTACTTGAGGAACTTTATTTACTGCCCATAGTTTGGAGACAATGGACTTCAGCAGCACCAGAACAACAGGCTTGAAGATCTTACTGGGGCTAATTCCATCATTATTGAAGATCCAGAGGAAGTTGGTGATGTTGAATCTTTGGAGGAAAGTGTATCCACTCCAGCCTTATCTGATCAACAATCCCCTCCAAGAAAAAGAGCTCGAGTTACAAACACCACATCCACAGACAGCACTCCTCTTACCTTTGATGCTTTTGATGCACAACCCATTCATGCTCGAGGTGCTAGTAAATGGAATCGCCTTTTGAAGGAAAATTATGGATTTTGGGCTAAAAAATGCTTACAATGGGTAACCCAACTCAATGAAGCCTATGCTGAAAGAATAGTGAGCTCTAAAATATTTTTATATGTTTATTCTCATTTTTTTAGAACCAAGATCTTAATCCCATTCAAGCTGAACAGCATTATCAGAATGTTGTGAATGTTCTAAGGGAGCTGCGCCAAGTGCAAAAATCAGTTTATCAAATGCCTGAATGGATTCAGACTGTCAAGGTAGAACTTATTTTTATTTCCCAGCTTAGTTAACCTTTTTTTAGGCCTCAAATCTTCCACAGAGTGTTCATCAGTGGAGTGATCCAAGAGGACTAGCCTTGTGGAAAGCAGATTTTGTCAAAAAACTATTCCGCAAAAATCGCATCTCGGAAACTCTAAGTCTTGTGATACACTCCTGGATTCCTATTGAAGAAAAAAACGCCTGGGAAGAAAGCACAGTTGACTATCCTGTACTCAAAGTATATTTTTATTTAATTAGAGAGGTGCTTTCTATATAACTCCACCCAGACAAAACCAACCTGGAGTAAAGTGTCTACAGGAAAAGAGCTTATCAGAGCTCTTTTGAAATATCCTGACATGATTCCCAGAGATGCATATCCATCTTCAGTTTACTCATTCCTTAATCTCAGAAACTTCCAATTTGCAATCAAATATTGGCTAGGTTATGCACTAGAAGCCAAACAATATGATGTAAGTGCTATTGATTATAATTTATCATGTAACTGATCTTCTCTAGACAACCTCTCTGACCAACCCAGATACCAATGAACAAATTTATCGTGATGCATTGACACATATTCAAAATATCATGCAACACCAAAACAACAACAACAACAAAACCGATCCCATTCTGAAACTTATATTTCAGCGAACTCTTGATTTTCTTCAATTAAGAAAGAAGATTTCTGGGCATGTTCTACAAAATCGACAGGTTGGCATTAGTTTTCATATCTTGCTTTTTTCTGAATTGTTTCAATTAGGGACTGAATTCACCTTGCAAAACATGCAACAATCTACCAGTGGAAGAACAGTGCATTCAAACCATTTATGTTGATTCTTCCAAAGTGGTTGATCCATCGGTGATCGGGTGTGGTGTTTCTCTAGCACCTCCTGAGATTCAACTTGAACCATTAAAGGTATATCAAATTTATAAATTTTGAACTATTCATTTTGAATTGTTTTTAGAACCCACATGCAAAACCTGGTTCACAACCTAAACCAATCCTGAAGCCTGAGGATCCATGTTTGAAACTTGTCAGAATTGAGCCTAACCTCCAGATAATTGAAAGATGTGGGCTTCAAGTTTTTCTGATGTGTGATAAGACAAGTAAAGAAACGGTAAGAGATTATTAGTCAAGAAAAAGAAAATCTGACCATAATATGATAGCTTGATTTTTGGGTACACAATGCTTTTGACAAAGACACTCTTTGCCAATTAGTGGACCATCATTCCAAGCTTAGCAATGTGAAAAAAATCAACCGGGGAAAGAAATTTGAATCATATAGTATGGGTAAAATGATGGGCCATGGTTCAAGAGCTGCAATGGGTGGTGCATCTGGAGACAGTTACACTTTTTATGCAGGCATGGAGGCAATCACCCAGGAAGATATAAATGCACTCTTCAACTCAGCAGAGGTATGCTTTTATTTGTGATTTATATATTGAATCTAAAAATTAGCAGGATTCTATGGTCATGTCTGAGATTGCACGGCTTTTTCATCATCCTCTTTACCAGGAGTTAAAGGAAGCCTCAGCTGCTGGAGATCGACTTGGCACCTCTGGTGCAACACTCTACAGCTGCAATAACTACACAAGTCCACTGCACTGTGATGATGATGCAACACGCGGTCTCTGTGCACAATATCAACTTCAAGCAATCTCAAAGTTCTTTGAATATTCATTTATTTTCGCGGACTATGGATTATACTTTGTGTCACGAACAGGTTCCTTGTGGTGGGTCCATAATGTTTTTTTTTTTTTTCAAATTGATATAACTTCAAAACTTTTGTATAGGTCCTTTGATGGCTCAAAAGCACATGGAACACTTCTCCCTTCAACATCGGAACTTACTGAAGAGGATAGAACCATATATCCACAAATTGCAGGACAGCCACCTATCAGAATATCAAATGGTAATCACGTAACAAGAAACAAAAAAAATCAAAATGCAGCTATCAAATACCAAGCAGTCCGGATCCATCGCGATCAAATCCAACAATACTATGCACGAAGGCTTTGATGATTAGTGGAGCGAGGGAGGTTAAAGTGAAGACTGATAATCAAATCAGCCACTATCCGCTGGTTCAGTAGAGCCGTAGAGCTACCATCCATTGAATTTATTGTAAAATGGCATTCGTTCTCGGATATAAATGAACTATTACAGCTGAGTCCGGGATGATAGACAACAGCGGTCCCAAACAGCCTATGGGTCACTTTCACCAGTGGCCTGTACTAGGGCAGGCTGGGCTGTAGTCCATTGGTACCGCGACCGACAAAGCCTAGACCAGCATAGACCTTTCCGGAGACTTTCCGCTTGGCACCCTGGATTCTAGCAAGCATCTCTGCTCATCCGCACATTCCTAGACACTGCTCGGATCCAACCCAGCTTTGGTCAACTCTTGCGTGAGCTCTGAGAGCGTTCGCAGGCCAGCGGTACGTGGTGGTCTTAATTGATTCTTCTTCGACTTTTTGATGATGTGCGATTGAAATTTATGAGAGCGTGATGCTGGCTGCAGCTGCTTCGCGTTCATCGTCCAAGTTGAGCTGATGAAGGAGTTGAGTTGGGTGAAGACAGTAGTTGAGAAAAGAAAAAGTGTGCGCACCATGTCTTCTTGGGAGTCGAAGAAGCCTTTAGCTGGTATTCGTTCTTCTTCAAGTTCTAGAGCTTCTAGCTTGTTGGCAATTGTCTGGATCAATGAAGTTTGAATCAACAAAGTTAGCGATGTACTCAAGACGGTTAAACAAATTTAGGAAATGTGTGAGCGAAGATTCCCGGTTCTGAACGAACAGCATGCTTGAGATAAGCCATTGTATCGACTCCACTATGATATCTCACCAAGGGGACTCACATCATTCCAGAATCGCTTGTCAACGTCAAGTGCTTCAATGACTGGCAAGTCCGCACCTAAGGCGCCATCTTTTACGTCCCCCGAAGGCCTCAAAGGCCTATTCTTTTGATAGGGAGTAATGGGCCTTCAAGGCCTGGGCCCTGACCCGCTTATCCATTTATATCCAACGATCGAGATCTTTAGGCGGTTCCATTCACGATAGTCAGTTCTACCGTCAATGAAGCCAGTTCCACTTACTACCCTCTTCCAGTCGCTGTTGTTGCCGGTTTGACTGCCGGTTAAAAATAGTACTGTTCAATAGGTTACAGCTGACAACCTTTTCGTTGAGGAACCGCTTGGTACATTTCATGCTTGGTCAAAGCTAGCGGTGCTTCATATTAGGTGGTCATGGTGCCGTAAGGTCGGACATAAAGCGCTCAAACCAGCATACCTAGAGACTCCTTTCGAGAAGGTTTGCAAGGTGACAGCCTTTTCCCCATGTCTTCATTCATTGGCACCCCCACTCAAAATCGTCGATTTGCGTGAAGGCCCAATTGGTGATAAATAATCAAAGTTGAGTATGTATACTCAAGATACAGTCTCCAATTGCGCAAAAAGAACAGCTAGATGGCCCCGATTCTCATTGGGGCCTTCGGATCTTCGCCCACTTTACCCTTGGCATAAGGCATGACTGTGATACGAAGCCGCCATTCAATTTCTTCGGTAACCGCTTCAAACGAGAAGTGGGGCAGGATGACGGACAACACCAGTTCTAATTAATGCATGATCATAGTCAAATCACATTACGCGAGTGAGGAGAGGAAGTAACTGACTGATTTCTAGCAAAGCGAACAAATTTCATGGGTTCACAACTGGATAAGCCACTTACGGGCAAGCTCTACCGCCGCCCAAGAATGTCATGCTAGGAAAGGGACATAATTGAGCTCATCTACTTGTAATGGATGATGAGATAGCCAATCACGCATTGGAAAAGATACCAGGCATCTTCACACTGTTCGCGGTACCATCCAAACCTGCTTTCCCGAGCCACAGTTCACTGGCGTCAGGCCCCCAAATCGCAGCAGATCGATTGGCGACGCCCAAGCCAACATACAGCGAGGTCCCTTTTGTGATCAGGAGCTCCTTGGTTTCTACAACAGTCTTGGAGTCGTGGATGGGGAAATGGAGAGGGATGAGGCAATATTCAATCGTCCTGAAGCGACGTGCGTAATATTCAGAAAGGCTACTTTCGATGGTTGAATAGACCAACGACTTACTGTCTTCATACAAAAGTAACCGGCGCGAAGAGATGGAGGGCTTCACGGCGCACCGCATCCAGGAGAGGGAGTTCATTTGATTCATTATTGTTAAACCCTTCATTGCCCTTGGTCTATAGGGTAACACGGGTCAATATTAGCGTGTCGAAACAAACTTGATATCGCTTACAGCGTGAGTATCAAAGAGTTCTTTGCGCAGACGATTTTGCATGTCATTATCGTTGGCCATCGAACACAGGAGCCGAGACAGAGCACCTGATGTCGTTTCTTAGACAATGGAGCTGCAAGAGCGTTTAAAACAGCTTTATATCCCAAAGACGTCAAGCAAACCTCATGTTAGCAATAACAACCTCATCGGGCATTCTATCGTCGTCGCCCGCGAGCTGATTGAGGTTGACTGAAATGGGAAAACATTGAAATCTAAAGGGGGTCGTCGAAGGCTAGACGTACTGAGGAGGGTTGCAAGGTCTTTCCCGCCTGACGTCGTTTTTTCGAGCTCAGATATTCCGCCTCGCGGCCAAGCCCAAATGGGCTCGAGTGCGGTTCTCGTCAGATAGTCGAGGATGTCAATGACGCGGGGAAAAATCCCTGTGCGTTGATCATTGCTTTTGCGCGTTCAGGACCACCGAGTTCGTCGCCTAGCGACATCATCCATTCTATGCGTGCCTGTAATGGTCAGCCTAAAAGATCGAAAAAAGCGAATAAATGCGCACCTACTCAAAGAACCTAACTACCCTCTACGCATCAGCCTCTTCGACTCTCTTTGTAACAATAAAAGGCTAACGTGCCTACACATTTCCCCCCGTCAACACCCGTTCATCAAGCTAAGCAAAGAAAGAACCCACTGAAACGCATCGTGATCCCCCCAAACGATCCTCTGCTCCCAAAACGACATGCACTCCCTCAAACACTCGTATGCGGGGTGTCTGGGCGACCGGCTGGGCCTGGAGGGAGTTGGTAAGCTAGCGTTGACATTTGCGCTGTATGAGTTGCGGCGTGGTCGTGCGTTGGTGTGAGGCATCGGGAGAGGAGGCCCTAATTGTCCGGGTGGGATGTGGAATGTGCAGAAGGCTGCTTGAAGATCCTGCATTTTGGAGAGAGTTTGTGAGCGTGTTGGAGTGACTGACTGAGAGCGCGTCTGAGTGAGGTTGTGAGTTCGAGCGAGTGGTGGATGGGTTGTTTGGGACGTTCGTGCTACATTGTAAAGAGGAACTAAAGTAAATGTAAGTAGCCAAACAAGTGAGTAACGTTGCTCACCGTCTGATTTTTAATCGCACTTTCCCCTGACAGTAGAGCTGTAATATAAAACCACGAATATGCTCCAGGGCCATCTGGAATGCCAATGTAAGTGTTTTTTGACCTCAGAGAGGCGACGTAGTGATACTGAGTGACAATGAATATCATATGTGGAACGGACACCGGACGGATGCCGCCCGGATGTCGCGTGACGTGTTCAAGTTCTAGTAACCACCCAAACCACGACGTTCTTCAACAGCTCATGAAACACTTTTACCTCCTCCTTCCCCTCTGAACCACCAATGACGACAAGTGTGTTGATAGTGAAGCACAACGGGCATTGTCAGCACTGTCACTGCAGACAAACCGGGCCAAGACGACGGGTGGGACGCGGAAAATGTGGCTGGGATTGTGGGTGAATTGTTTGGCCGGATGATGGTCTGCTTTTCGAATCGGGGGCTTATAGAAACATTTTTGTTTTTGATGGTGCTATTCAGTGTACCTGAGGCTGAATTCTCGTAAGTGAGCTTTCTGTGTCCAATGTTGAGTAGGCAAAAATGACCTGCACATTCAGATACCAAGGGATGTCGATGATCATCCATCTCCTGCTCGCGAGCCATCCCAACCCTAAGAAGTGATCGTCATTGGCGGTGGCGATGGAGGATTATGAAGCACGATACCGTTGTACAAGTCGTGCTATGCGATATCGATGAGGTCAGTTGCTGATCTCCATCGACTTCATGATAATTTTACTCAATATTCTCTTTCCAGGCCATGGTGCAAGTGTCGAAGTGTTGAGGCAATACCTCCCACACATATCTTCCCTCCTCAGTGACCGTCTTCATTGGTGACGGTTCCACCAACGCTGAGATGTGATACGACGCCCGATGATTGGGCGAGTTATAGTGCCGCTATGAAAGCCGGCATACAGAATTTTATTGAGGCTCAATTTCACGCGCTTGGTGATTGGTTTTCCTGGACTTGGAAGGTTGGTTTTTCTTTCCCCCTTCCCCTCCATTACGAGCGAGGCTGACATTAAAACCACTTACTAGATGGGAGCATCACAAGTGTCAGGAAATATTGAAGCCTCCCTTTGCCAGTCCTATTAACTCGGCCACCCCAACGGGTGGATCCTCACCGATCCACGCGTAGCCTCAGCTCCCTCTCCTCCCCGCCAGATCCTTCTCCGCGTATTTACCATGGCAAACCGGAACACCATCCACCATCCCTGCCTCATCCACCGCGTCTTTCGCCTGGCCTCCGACGACGCTGAGTGCTTTGAACATGGGGATGACGCTGTTGCCTACGTATCGTATACGGCAACCGTGATTACGCTGCCGCCGCAGAGCTTTTCGGATGCACCTGCGCAGGTCACGAAGAGCGTCAATGGGTGGTTTCATATTGTAATTTCACATACGGCGGTGAAGGATTCATTTCGCAAGTCAACCACCGGATCTCTCAGGTACCGTCGTGTTAATCCCTCGAGTTTTGCAGGTTCTGACAACGTCTTAGGACTTCAATTTTGCGGATGGTATGCTCTCCTTTTGGAGGTTCACGGTCGAACAGCATCCAAAGGAACTGAGTATGTCTTCTTCCATTGTCCAGGCATCTGTTTCTGCAGCCACGAGCATTTGTTTCCTTGTCAGACTTTTGTTTTTTTTTGTCTGATAGAAAAACTGCCTATCTTATATTGTTATAGAGATGTATGTTAACGGTTTTCTACAGTAATAGAATATCGTACTAGTAGGAATTGAATTGTACATTTTTTTTGCCCTTAGGCGAACCGGTCCGGGCACTCCATCACCTGATTCTATGGACATGTGACATACTGTTGACTGGTGTTCAACGTTCCGTTATCGTCTTTCCTCAAGTGCTCGTCCTCTAGTCTCAACTAGCTCAACTCCCATGCTTTCTCATTCATTTCGCATTGATCTTGTCTTGGGTGGACGAGATTTAGGGAAAGACTATCGAGGTGCGCTCAATCGTAAACGTTTTCATCGGCGCAAGGCTTACTAGACATACGACAAGAAGTTCACGTACACCAAGCATGCATGCATGAGCCTTGAAGCTTGAAGCGCTGAGCGCTGAGCGCTTGACGACTTGCTATTCACACTCTCCCACCCCCCCAAAGAGGATGTGTTAATGCATCAACACTGGCCCTGTTACACCACCCACCTTTCCGATGAATGCAACAGTGCCGCTATGCAAGATGTCGTTCTGTGTTTTCAGCCGCTATTCACATCGTCACTCCTCTCCGCCTTCACTTTCGCTTTCTTTCCCTTCAATCTGTCACAAGCTAGCTCCCCACCGTGCCAGCCCTGGTCAAATTTATCTGCCAGCTCTTGCCCTGATTTTCTTCGGCTCAGTGCCCATGCCGGATCTCCAACACAGCACCCAATGCACTCGGGGAGTGGGGAAGTTGAGTATCAGCAATATCTCAGTGTCCGACACACCAGGATACAATTGTCGTTTCAGCGCATCGTACCCTTGTCGTACCCAGCCAGTTGAGTCAAGGGATGGGGCAGTTGAGCATCACGATGTTGCGTTCACGCACCGCCGTGTCCGGTCGGCAGAGTCGAGGGGTTGGGGCCTGAAAACTCATACCAATTAGTGTAGAACGACGACACGGCATTCAACATACTCTGACCTCTCCCCACTGCCAACCATCGGCGGCTGTTGGCGTGACGATTTGTCTCGCAGGGCATCATATATGCCGTGACTCATCGCTCACTCGCTGTTACGACGTGATTCCACTAGCAGCCTCGCCAACCTTACTCAAGTATCAGCATGGGCGTAGGCAGACGACGCACCCACACATCAGCGCATGCGTTGCATTCACTCTCGCTATTCCATCACTTTGAGATATTCCACCAGATCCAGCACCCCGACACTCCAGCCTCCAGACTGTGACTGATCGCTCGCTCGCTCTGTCCCAACATAGTTTTCGTTGCAGGATTCATCGTCAGCTATCAACTCTACCAGGAGGGGGTTTCCGTGCGGCAATGCACCGGTACAACACGAATCATCGCTTCCTTCCCTCCTTACGAGACAGTTTTTATGGAAGGTGCCACTACCGGCTCGCCAAACACTCATTTTCGCCTCCCTGTCAGGACGCGGTTTTTGGGGCGGGATCCTCGCCAACCACTGCAACTGCCTGAAACACCACCGCGCTTTGTCACTTGCTTCCCTCCTCAACACGATTTTTACGTAGGTTGCCACTTCTAGCCGCCGGCTCTAGCAGTGCGCCACGACGACCATCCTCCCAAATTTCATGCACAGTTCGCTATCGGCGGGGTAAATGGGTGCAGGAGAGAGGACAGTCGAGCATTGGTTTTTACCTACGTTCCGCTGTGCCATTTCATCATCATCCCCCGTGATTCTCCACCACCATCTCCAGCCCACGATACAAGTATAGCGAGTCATGACAGTGACGAACTGGTCGCTTATCACTCCACCGCCACTGCTGGGGCCAGCTTTAGCAGTGATGGGAGTTTAGGTGTGACGACGTCGATGCATCTGGGGCAGAGTGGCGCGGTATGGGTAGCGTGGTATCTGGGGCGGGGCGCCCAGTAGCAGAGTTGGTTTTTCCGATACTGACGCCGACGAGCCTGCTAGTGTACGCCTGACTTGTAGTCAGGTCCAGTGGGCACTGTACCCCAGTCTTAATGTACCCCAGTCTTAATGTACAGCTCCATTGTTAGCTCGTAAATTTGATATCATTTTCTTGAGTCTGACATACTTATACAGAATACACTATAATTGGTGAAATTACTGGCATATTAATGTGCTGACAGTCTGATTATCACGGAGTGATGTCGAGCACTCGGGAGTGGCAGGACATTAAGTAGCACCAGGCACTCAGTAGTGCTGGGACACTGAGATCCATCCCGGATGGCATTCTTAATGAGGATTTAGCAGGGAGTGCCATGAGTGATTACGACCTCGAAGGCCAATTCTTCCTTGCCACCTTCGAGGTTTCACGTGACATCAAAGTGCCACGCCAAGGGTGGTCGGGTTGTTATTTCTTCCTACATACCCTGCGCCACTTCAAGGATGAACGGAGCCCGAAGGAAGTCATCCTTACTTTAGTGTCTTAGGGTCGATATCGGGATTCATGAAAATGGGATAGTATACGCTGTGGCACCTGCTCAACCTCAGGGAGGTGGTTGTCTGTCAAGACTTCTGAAAGACGAGCAGGAAGAATTGTTGTCAGGGACTGTAAGACTGGGGTCGAACCTCATCCTCTGTGCCACAAGTGAAATATAATTTTTGGAGAACGGATACCGCAAAAGGATCTTGGTGTGGTAGTGGCGAGGGACGCAGTGTGCGTCTTGTATCCTCGAGAAACAAGTCCGGCTGAAAACCGGATGGTTGTACAGGCGGTGGACTACGTTCTGTTGCCTAGCTCGCTGATCTCATAGAGTTCGATGGTCTTGACGTTTTCCAACAACAAAAGTGCGACGTTCATCTTGTTTTTGAGAAGTCGAGGAGTTGCGAAATTGGTAAAAAGAGTCCATAACAAAGGCATCCGTGGATCACCACATCTATTCTGATGTGCGAACATCATCTGAATTCTGTCAACTTTGGGGAGTTGGAACCACTGCGTGGCTGGTGAATCAGGGCCAGGTTGTCGACCAAAAGCAATCGCTTCCAAACAAGTCTCCGTAAACGTGTGGTTATACCACTCGTGGACTTATCGAAGGTCTCGCACCAGTTCACAACGTTGGTTGGAAGTGGCGTTTTCTGGATGCCGAGATCCGTGCTTGATTTGCACGTAAACGTCATGTACAACCTGGTAGGACGATCGTCGACGATCTTCATTTTCTCCCAGCCAGTTTGAACGTGGTTCTTCAGGTCACCAAACAACGCTGTCGTACGGTGTGATGACATCGTCCGTAATGGCTTTGATCCCAGCCTTGACGTAGGCGTCCTTGTCGGCGGATTGGATAACGTCGGCAGCATTGAAGATCAGAACGCACAGCCTTCTGCAGAACTGTGGCACCGTTGTATGATAAGAAAGGGGGTAAATCCACGCTCCGAGGGAGTGAGACGGCTGTTCAGAAAGACGTTGGGTGTGTTGAGGTTCGCGTTTTCGAACAGATTGAAAACGCGAATTATTGCAGAAATTTTTGGGAAACGCATGGCGCCAACGTCAGAGTAGTTGTAAGGGGCACCGAAGTCATGAAGGGGCGACAGGAAAAGTAGGAGGAGTGTAGTTGTTTGAAGGTGTGCCGTTACGGTGCCCGTAGCCATTCGGTGGCTCAGCCCGATTCGTAGCGGGGTAAAAAACGTAAATCCGGGTCAAATCTACCAAAACCAACACCTGCATCCGCCAGATCTCGCCTGATAGCAACCTTTACGGCAGCTAGAGGGTCATTGGAAAGAACGTCGGCTCTGGCTATTACAGAGAGTAAATGTAATCGCCCAGACAAGAGATATATCGGCAGCAGGAAGTGTCGGCAGCAGGAGGTGTCGGCAGATACAGAAGGGGATCCATGGTTACTGGTAACTCAAGGATAACGGGGTCTTTGCTCCGGTTGAGAAAAGCTAGTGGTCCGAGCCCGGGGAAAGGGTGGTGCGGGGGGACCTGAGACCGAAGGTGACACAATCAAGTCGGGATACAAAAAGTATACGCTTCTGAGGGCACTCAGTGAGCAAAAAGAAAGACGACGCAACGGAAAGACATACGGGTGAACATAACGGTCAGCGCTGTGGGCTTTCCACTCCTGTGACCGACGTCAGTAACAAAACGAAAGTATTAAGTGGGTGCTCACATCCTCAAGAACTTCGGTGAAACGGACATCAACAAGATGAAGGTTTCCAGCCAACAACCGCAGCCTCATCTTGACTTTCATCTCGAAAGTCAAGGGAAGGAGTGTGGATGAGTGTTAGACCCAAGCGCTGCCTGCCTTCATTCCCCCAACATTAAGGTTGATGTAGTTCGGCGGTGGGGCAGGTCTCCTGGAAGGAATTTGACGACAGAGGCAAGCTGATCTTTGGGGAAGTTGAGGGAAACGTTGCTGGTGTTGGGCAGTAGGCGGAAAAAGAAAGTTTTGCCTTTTGCCTGACCCCAGGGAAGCAATATATAAGGTTTCCACAAGTGGATCGGTGTCAGGTCTGCTGGCGTCTTGGTCTAAGGGAGAGTGAGGGAGTGGAGAGGGAGTCAGTAGATATTTTGATCGGTGAGACGCTTGGAACATCCCCGCAGAGAGTACACTACCCACCTATCCAGGGGGGCGCGTAAGGAAAAAGGAAGACTCAAGGGGCTTTATAGACGTGACGCGTTGTTTGTTGTTATCTGTTGACGTCGACAGAATTGTGTAAGGCTAAATCGGTACAAGGCCCCTGACATTGACAATTTACGGAGGGCCTTTGGAGGCTGGTTCCCGAAATCAGGTATTTTCGGGTTTTCATGTCTGTCTCATTTCCGGTGAAACCTGTTCGAATTGCAGCTGGCCTTCGCCAACTTTTTCAAAATTGTCCGGATTTTGGGAACAGGTCTTCTGCGGGTCCAAAAGGCGTCCGGATTGCAGGATCCGGCTTTCTGAGACCTCAGAAGTTCTATACAAATGGTTTAGAGGACCCTGCGAGCCATTAAACACTCATTTCCAGCCTAAGTTGGACAATGGTCCAGGCAAAGACCATTGAACAGAATCAGGTCAGTGGGGGAGAGGTCAAACCCAGAGCAGTTCAAGGCTTGCGGACTGTGCACAAAACTGAAACGATGTTTGAGGGAGGGAGGAGGCCCGGGGCAAATTGATGAGTTTGAAGTATTGCCGTAACGATTGGGATTGCTCGAAACTGACGGCGGTGGGTAGGTTCAAAAACACGTACGACAATCCTCGCAAGGGCGCTGATATTGGTCGTCGTGTCCGACGATGACTGTTTCTAATTTCACATATCAGCACTACGTCGCTCAGTTCTAAATATAGTAAGACACTGACATTCGCCGACCATTAGCTCATCACCAACCATGACCAGGACGTAACCTCCGCTTTTAAGCGGACGGAGAGTAGTGAAGGGTGCGGTGGAGACAAATCCGAGACATGGGTTTTAATTCGGTAGATCTTGTGTCTTCTCCCTGCAGCCTGTTTTCGAGGTACTTAGCCCAATAAGCTGTTTATACGACAACAATACGAACCTTTGTTGCGTTTAACGCCGCCGCCACTATCGCATTGGCCGTAAAGTTTCCCGTGGCCGGCGTTTTATCTGCTGCCTGGCCACCCTTTGCTGCTTGAAACCAACGTCACGACAGCTCGCTTCCAGGGGGTTGTTTGAAAGCTCAGAGTTTTCCATGCACTCGTCATCACACTATTCGATGGGGAGATCGAGTACAACTGTAATAAAAGAAAAGGGAGTAAGTTTAAACTTAACACAAAGGATTCTCCTTTTGAAAATACGCAGTCAAAAGGGCTAGTTGCGCGCGGCCAACCGACATTTACGCATAAAGTGGTATCAAAGGCGATTAAAACCCAGAAGACTCGCTTAGACAGCTCATCCTCAAGGCTTCCGACGGTGAATTCCAACATCCTGTGCAGCCCAGACAGCCATGTACCAGACGACGTTCCAAGAAAGCATCCCGCCCTGAGATGATGTACACGATATTCTTCGGGTTCGCAGGGAGCTTTTCGAGTGCTTCGAGCGTCGCTGCGAAGGGAACGGCCATGGACGGAGTTTTCACGATGGATGCGAGGGTTCCCTGTGGTTCGTAGTCTCATTCAATTTGGGTTGGGGAGGAGATCTGAGACGCACATCATAGTTGATGAAAAATAGCTGTTTCCCAGCTTCCTGATATAACCCACCTGAGCACTTCCTAGGAAAGGCATCTGCTTGAGCAACATGCTCACAGGAACCACAGCCCAGGCATAGGACATGTGGGTGGTGATTGTAAAGCTTCCTCAGCGGACATCAAGAGACCTTGATTAACCGCGGCTGCTCGCAAGAGGTGCCGGATTTCCGGATTTTACTGTCCCTCCTGACAGTGTATGGCAGAGACAGCGAAGGGTGTACATTCGTAGTCAGTAATTTTCTCGGGACTGGAGCTCTCTAATTAGTGAGTAACCGTGGGTAAGCATCGTGTCTCAAGCTTCCTCTGTACGTCTCCAGCACCCTGATGCGTCCATAGGAAGCTGAGCTCCATAAGTGTATTTGGGTCCGCTGGCTTAGGGTGACTTTGGTAAGTTGGCTACAGGCAGACGCACACGGTGAGGTAGGAAAATAGAATTCATATGTCATCCACGATATCAGTAAGTATAGCTTGGGAGGTCGGTGCCGCTGATGGTGATTCGGGTGGTTCGCATTGGCATTAGTAGCCTGAAGGGGTGGCCTGCCGTGGCCGTTGACGTATCCCCCTCAGCCGCGGTTGGGGTTGGCCATGATGTGCATGGGCGGTCGGTGGCTATCTTCAGGTTAGCTTAGAATTTGTGGATGAGGGCAAGGGAGTCACCTGGGAGGTTGTGCTGGGCGGAATCCAGCTGCTGGAGCCTGGCCAGGCGCGGGGTTGATCTCGGGTTGGGGACCACGTCTCGGTTCAAAGAGGACCTCATTCCGAACGGGCGGCGGAGCTTTAGGGTTGGTAGACGTTATGAACTGTGGGTTGGGCAAGTTCAAGCAGGTGTTGAATTCGACCGTCGAGTCACGACACTTCGAGCACCTACATTTGCATCGTAAGCACCAAGCAAACATCTATGAGGGGTAAAATGACGCACCGATCCCCCAACGTTATACCAGACATGAACGGAACATCCCACACTACGTCTACAGTCTTCGAATTGAGCCCAATGACGACACCTTGAACTGATAGTGGAACGCTTCCAGAGTCTTGCACCATCGTAACACGGTCGCCCAAAGCAAAGTGTTGATTCTGAAGACGGTAAGCAGTGTGTGCAGGTTTGAGAACAGCTTGTCTAGGGATTCCTTTGACTATGGCCTTCTTGAACTGAGCTGACGACTTGTTCATTTGTTCTCCGTAAACTCATCAGCCATTCGCTTGATCTCCCCAACGGTCTCCTGCAGGTAGATAAGGTTTGGGTGGATGGGTTACAAGGCCGTGAAGCGACTATTCAGCTTACCTTGCCTAGTTGGTCACAGAAAAGGGAGACGGGCTCGAAATCTCCAACACCCTTCGTCTTTAGCCAAGCTTTAATCACCCTAACATGACCATCAGGATCCGGCCCCGACAAGATGTCGGATGCCCTTGCCATCGCTATAAACATTTAAGGTCAATCGTTCGTCACTCGCACAATAACATACATGTGCCATCTCCGCTGTTATCTAACGCTAACGAGAGGAAGACCTCGGGAAATTTTGCCTAATGATCCCATGCTTCAGTAAGTGTCAGAGCCCGTAAAAACCAACAGACCTTGTACTCTCGGATCAGGTCGATTGCCCTCTCGCTATACTCTCAATGCCGGCCCTCTTTGTGAGAATAGTCGACGACCTTCAAAGCCTTCGCTTCGAATTTGAGGCTCAGGCCGACATTGGTCCTCTGTTCATCAGACGTGATGACCATGAAACTCGACGTAATCTTCCCCAAAGCCCGCCCCGAGATTCCAACCGTCTCTGCAGCTTTCAAAGAGGGGAAGTAGTGGCTAGATCGTCGATTCTGTACGACGGCTTTGAACTGGTCATTCTCAGCCTTTTCAGCCGGGAAGAACTATACAGTGATGGGTTCAAGGCGCGTTATGATACAGAATTAGTGAAAGACGTACTCTAAGTATCACAGACAAATTGGTTTCGGTCGTGGCAGAGACCGAAGCAACCACCCCATACGCTTGTTCCCCCAGGATGAAAATCTGGGGAACTCCTCTGACAAAGGAGGTGCGTCGCGTTCGAGGGAGCGAGGATATTTTGAAGCAACTTCGGGAAGACACATCTGCACCGCACGTTCCGTTTCCCTTTCTGGGCCCTCATAGTCCTTCACAAAGGCACCAGACTCCAATCGCTTCAGGCCTTAACGTGTTGTAGAGTGTCAGCAACGTCCCATTGAAGGGTAGATAAGACACTCACCTTTTAAAGGAAGGACGTGTAGGAGAATGTCAACAGTGCGCGTAATGACTCCTGATCGTTTAGAGTAAACCTGCTCGATACGATCGGCCTTCATCTTCCAATGGCCCAATCCTTGAGGCGCGTGTGGGTTTGAGACGACCTTGGCCGGTGTCCCAGGCACGACCGTCATCTTCTCGTACTTAAACAACGAATCAGAGACCGCGACAACCGATCCTTCCTGCAGGAACGGCCAACCCATGAGAGTCCGTTCGCCAATCATCTTCAACTTCTTCCGTCTTCATCCCCTCATACGGGTTTCGTATATGCACCACCATCGATTTGTTCCGGCTTTCTGAACCATGGACGTTTACGCCGTGGTATCCCAGTAGCGCCGTGTGTGGAAGCGTTTTGAGGGATGGGAATCAAGCCAGAGCTTCTGTACCGAGAATACTCCGCCGCAAAGACCGGGAATGAGATGCAACCCATCAAGGATCGGGAGGTCGAACGGCTCCGTCTTGCACGTGCATCGATAGAGAGGGGGGAAGAATCCAGGCAGAAATGAAGGATAGAGAGTGGCCTCGCCGGGGTTGAAACTGAATTTCGAGCTCGAGCCCCAAGTGTTCCTTTTTCTCTCCTCGGGGGTGAGACAATGATCACGAGCTGAAAGTGAATATATACGTTGGTGTCATAAGACCATACTTTGGCTAGGAACGTACCAGTCATTGCCTTCAGCAGCCTCTCTTGATCAATGAATGTGACAATTGCCTCCAAGTCTTGCTTTTTCCCGTTGAGATCTTGCTCGAACTCGAGAGGGTAGAAGTCAAGAATCGGTGAGTTTGGATCATACATGAGATCCTTCGAAGAACGGCCAGCCGGCAATCTTTTTTTTTTTTTTTTTTTTTGTCAAATTTAAGTCTATTAGGGCGAAGCCCTATGTCAGACCTTACAACTTGTAGACTACCTAGGGCCCCGAATGCCTATATTCCTGACCCCCTGTAGGACCACTCCATGCACTGGTGGAGACACGCCCGAGGCGACCATTCCCCCACACAGCCCGGCACGGAAACGCCGTTCAAGAGTGCGCCCGTAAAGCGAGCGGGGTAGTCTCGTACTGTCTGCTTGACTATGCAGTCCAACGGCCATGAGTTTCGTCTTCTAAGTACCCGACCGCAAAGCAGTAGGTACAGCCGAATGGGACGAGCGCGATCAGGGAAGAGATTTGTTTTTGAGTGTCCATCGATTTATTGAGTTGTTCTTCGTCCATTACTGAGCTGGCGCATGTCAACTTGAGCTTGAAGTCCGCAGGCTGAGGTGCGGGTAAGAAAAAAGGGGGGGAGGTTTTGAGGGCAAGCCCGCTGGGTAAATGGCAGCTGAACTATCGTCGGTCCATTCTTCCTTTGAGTTATGCCCTGTCGAAAAGGAGGTGCTACCTGTCAAGCCGGCAATCATATCCGAACGTCGATATCTACCTGATAAGCTAGCGGAATGTGATCCATGCTAGCAACGGGCAACACGCCCATAAGCTGCTGGTACGGCTTGAATGGTGTTCCCAGCTGAACATCGAAAGACATTTCGTCAACTCCCTGCAAATCTGTGATTGGCAACATGAGCAACATCCAACATCCAAACCGACGACACACACCTGAAATCCGACGAGCGTAATGATAGTTGTAGAACCATCCCCACGATGCAACTCCACGTGCATGACCAACTGCAGGTCGGTAGATCAGATCACCCATTTCAGTCGGGTCGTCGTAAGATATCCCTAGCTTCCCCTGCGTTGGTGTCTTGTCAGCTCAAACTTAACTTGAGAACAACAAAAAGATCCCAACCTTATAACCCCGCTTCCACTCGTCCATCTTCTCTTTCAAAGACCGTTCATACCGCTCCTCAAACGTCCCGTCGGCATCAACATCCTCAACAGGCGCCTTCTCATACTTCTTAAGCACACGATCAACCGCTGCTCTGCTCTCTTCGTCTTCAACCTCAACCTCGTCTTCCCACTCACTATCCTCCTTCTGCTCGCCCATCTAAGGCTCATCTTCCAGCGCTCTCGGAAACCGACACGTCACCAGATTCCTGTCCTCCTCATCAAACTCGTCCCACGTCACACTCAGGTGTAGATCCTCCGTCAACTTGGTGATGAATACTCGCTCCCTCGCAGGGAACGAGTTTATCATCGTCAGCCTCGCGGCTCGGTAGTGTGAAGGCGAGGGCGCGTTCCTGTTCTCTATCACAAACGCCTTGATCTTATCGAAGATCTCCCTCTGCGCCGTAGTTAAAACTGTCACCAACGTCAGCATTCCGTAAAAGATTATCCCATTGAGAGCATACATACCTAGCTTCGCCCGTTTCCGCCCGTCTTCCATCTCTTTGACATGTTTTGCTTGTTTCCCCTTGTACCAATTCAAATCGGAATACTCCTTCTCAAACACCCCCTGTTCCCATTGAGTCATCTCGTCCAAAATGACTTGCAGTCTCTTCGTGTTGATCACTCCTCCCTCGTTTGTATAACCATCTACAACGACAGTTAGAAATGCAGCAAAAAGCGAGCGGGAAGACACTCACCCAAACCCGGCAATACTTTCTTGTATACATCAAACAACTTCTCGAGCCCATTCTCATGTATATGAAGATCGGGAAGATCGGGGAGAAAATAATCGTCAATCACCCGTTTGAGGTTATAGTCGAACGGCAACATTAGTTGAATCTTGTGGAATTTGAGGTCAAGATACTCTCTCATCAACGAGAGATGGAGTAGATAAAAGTTAACCGATTCTAAGCTAGTGCGATTAGAAAGACCATTTGTCCCGCCAACAGGGGTAAAAAGAATCAAGTACCTCGTATTCCCTTTTTTCCGCGACGCTGGGTCAAACTTGACCTCCCC